GGGGAGGCCTCTTGAACGATGACAGGTGAGTCGGGCTTTTTCTTACGGATTCTTCGCACTATTGGGGTGAACGGAGACATAATGGCACGTGCACGCCGTCTGATGCATGAACTCCGTCTTGCAAGAAAAACCCGACGTAGAGCATCCACCTTAGCGGGCCGCTAAAAATAAATTAATACATAAATCAATAAATAAACAGACATGATATTAAACAGTGAAAACAAAGAAAAATATATTTCAAACTTGCACGGTATTCACCCAAGTCATTATTATATCATTGTTCACAAAATGCATCAGATAACTTTCCAGAAGTAAGCACTTATATAAACATTTAAAATGACAACATATAGGTTTAGTGCATGTTCAATGACAACATAAAGAGTAGTAGTTTATTCTTGAAACTTAAATTTTCAACACTGTGAAGTTAGTATTTATCTTTTGGTTGAAGTAATGCAATTCATTCAAGTTTCAATTTGCAGAAGAAGAATAGAATCTGAAACTTAAAATCCCAACGCGAAAATGACTATCGCAACGCGACAATGACTATCGCAACGCGAAAATGACTATCGCATTGCGATAGTCATTTTTGCATTACGATAGTCATTTTCGCGTTGCGATTTTGTTATTGCGATTTTCATTTTGCATTGCGATTCTCTCGTTGCGATAGTCATTTTCGCGTTGCGATAGTCATTTTCGCATTGCGATAGTAAACTATTCTTCTTCTGCAAATTGAAACTTGAATGGATTGCATTACTTCAACCAAAAGACAACCAAAAACAAATACTAACTTCACAGGGTTAAAGAATAAACAGTTAAACAGTATTGGCAGCAACCGAATGAATTTACTAAGCAATCTAAGTGAAATTACGAGTAAATTTATCATCAAGTTAAATATGAAAAATATTAAACTTACCTAGTTGTGTAGAGTATGAACCTCGTTCTGCAACGATGCTACAATCTCACGTAGAGCTGCTACCTCACCACGTAAAGTAGACACCTCAACACGCCATGCACCATTGTCATCGCGTAAAGTACCGACCTCCTCACGCAAGGCATTGACCTCATTACGTAACTCCCCTAACTCATCCCGTGGAGGTGGAGAACAGGGAGATAAACATGAGGTGATAGTGGAGAAGAGGCTCGATGATGTGACAGAATAGGTGATGACTCTCGTTATGGAGGTGTATATTCGGGTCGATCAGGTGATGGCTCTGGGTGAGGTGATGGCTCTCAAAGTGGTGGCTGCTCATCATCCGTGCTATCAAAAAAACGCTTACTAGCTTGCCACCAATCAGTGGCAAGCTCAGCTTCCGTGGGTGTCAGCCTCTGTAATGGAGTGTTGGCCTCCTAACAATATAAAAGCTCAAACAAAGTTAAACGTGTACTAGTAATAACTTGTTTATAAACATATGGTAGTATTTGTGTTAACTTACATTATTTATTGTAGTATACGGTAGTAAATCTTCCCATTGCTGCAAGGACTGTTTCCTCTTCCAGGAAATAGCCCTAGGAATATCATTAGAAGTTTTTAATGCATATGTCTGCATGGCGGGAAATGCCTCAAATATCCAAATCTACAAACAATATAATAACAAACATTAGTAATTGTTAAAGAATTAATTATAATTTTGGAAACATTATATAAAAATTATTACCTTAAAGGCCCAAATAAAGCCTGACAAAGTGTATTTGGAACCATCGCCACGTAAACTTTTTCGATCATCAAAGGCAGACGACAACTTATTCCATGTAGCTTTCCATAGATACGAACCCCACGAAAACAGGTTCCATGCATTTAGGTCCTCTAACAATTTAATTAGATCATTAGGAATAGGTTGTCGGGCCTCTCTGCCTAAAAAGCCGGCTTGTAAAAGTATTAGAAGGCATACTCGGACAACATTGATGTCATCCATCAGAGTAAAACCATCTTTCTTATTCAATAATCTCGTCAAGTCTTCCACGTGTAAATTCGGCTTCTCCGTTGACAGCTCAGGAAAAACCCGGGAAAACCATGATAGGCGGGTAATATGCCTAGTGTACCGATCTACATCATCGTGTCCGAAGCGTAGACCGGTGATTAAGCAAAACTCCTCCCGCCCAAAACACGTATACGCCGGTGGAAAATCAAACCATATCTCTTCATCACGACGTTGTATAGTCTCTGGTAGATCGCTAGTCATGGTTTGAAGAAACAGATGGGTCAACATAGCATCTCCACCCGGATGTTGTACTTTCAGCCATGGCCCAAAGCAAGTATCTTCAAATATTTTTCTTTGTGCAGGTGAAAGCTTCGACGCAATTGTTTTGGCCAGGCTTAATTTATTTCTTAAGGTCAATTGAGCTGAATAAAAGTTCTGCAAAAACAATAAACATACCAAGTTAGATATACCAAAAACTACACTGTGAAGATATAACAAGAGCAATAAACATAAAGAGTAGTAGTTTATTCTTCAAACTTAAATTTGCAACACTGTGAATTTAGTATTTGTCTTTGTTTTTTGGTTGAAGTAATGCAATTCATTCAAGTTCCAATTTGCAGAAGAATAGTTCCTTAAACTTAAAATCGCAACACGAAAATGAAAATCGCAACACGAAAATGACTATCGCAACGCGAATTTGACTATCGCAACGTAAGAATCGCAACGCGAAATGAAAATCCAACACGAAAATGACTATCGCAACGCAAAATGAAAATCGCAACGACAGAATCGCATTGCGATAGTCATTCTCGGTTTCAAATACTAAAATTGAAAGAAACTTGAATGGATTGCATTACTTCAACCAAAACACAAAACAAAGACAAATACTAACTTCACAGGGTTAAAGACTAAATAGTTTAGCAGTATTGGCAGCAATCGAATGAATTTAATAAGCAATCTAAGTGAAATGGTTAATCTATTATTGAAAACACCAGTAAACTTATCATCAATTTCAATATGAAAAACCTAATAATAATGCAAAAATTTCAAAATAAAAATAATTAAAAAAACTAACCCTCGGTGGTTGATTTGGTTGATTTTCCATTTCTGACCGTGAATGATTTCGCCGGAGATGGAGACTGATATCGTCGGAGATGGGGACTGATTTCATCGGAGATGGGGACGGATGTCGCCTTAGAGAGTGAGAGATGGAGATGAGACTGAGTTGTGATTTAGGGTTTTAGGTTATGAGTTGCGATTACGGGATATACTGTGGACGGTTCAGTGTTCTGATATATTAATATATTCGTGTTTGGAATTTGAAAAAAAAATACGCGTTGCGATAAGAATGGTGCTATGTAAATCGCATTGCGATAGTCAGATTCGCGTTGCGATTTACGTATTCGCATTGCGATTTACATATTCGCATTGCGATTTACGTATTCACATTGCGAATTAGGAAAATCACAACACGAATTTGGAAAATCACAATGCAATAATCAGAATCGCGTTGCGAATCTGGAAACTGATTTGCGATACCGAAGATCGCGTTGCAAATTATCGATCACATTGCGATTTAGTTGGTCATTTTGGCAAATCCAAAAAAAGTTGGTTAAAATCGTATATTATAAGGCATTTTTTGTCACTGAGGTTATTTTCTCTTATATTATTTTGTAACTTTTTAATTTATTTTTATTTTTAAATTATTTAAATTCATGTATATATAAATTTAAATCCATTAAAATTATATGATTTAAATTCAAATAAAAAAATTCATTAGATCATATTTTTTTCCGAATAGTTATAAGGTAGTATTTATTTATAATTTATGTCATCACAAACATAATTATTCGAACCTGAAAATTAAAAAAAAATATTATTTTTAACCATTAACAATACTCAATAAATTTAATTTAATATTAGGCGATATTAATTTAATTAGATCTTATATCGAGAATTAATTTTGTTAGGGTTATCTATCCTTATACAAGTACTAGTAATATACTTTTTGGCGTTGACACACAACCTTTGTGTGATGCTATGACGCAGAAAGCTATCGGTTACAAAGATAAAAAAGGGAGCGTTACTGGGTTTCACCTCAAATCAATATCCGCTGTTTGCACGCCACAGATAGGGATGCTGATTTAAATTGAAATCAATGAGATTTGATCTGATGTAATTTTATAAAATCAGATTTTCTAGAAAATAAAATTTTGAATTCGAGTAGAATCGGATCAAGTCGGATTCGGGTTGGGGTGACAAAACTCCAACCCGACCTAGGAATAATATAAAATAGTTTTTTTTAAAATATTATTTTTTAATTAAACCCTTATTTTATATTGGGTCATGTCGAGCCAGATTTTTATTTTAAAAATTTGGGTCGGATCAGGTTGGATAGATAATATATAATTTTTAGATCAAATCAAATTCGGATAGATGATACCTATTATTACATCAAGTCAGGTTAACAAAAAACCCGACCCGTTACCATCCCTAACCACACAATATCTCAAGGCGTGTGTTTCTTCTAATTTTTAGTATATGATTTATTAATCAATTAATTTAATTCAATTTTGATTTGCTTTATTCGTAATAACAAAATTTAAATATTTAATTTTACTTAAAAATTTACTAATTCATCTTGATAGACCAATAAATTATCATTCCTTCCACTTTTAGTATTGCTGCCAAACCAGAATATATTTCAGTTGTCGTTTGGTTAGTGAAATTACTTGTAATTAATGATTTGATCCCAAGTAAATGGATTGTTTGAACAAGAGAGAGGAATAGGGATAAGATTAGAAGATTATGGGTGTTGGCGTTTGGGGTATGGAAAGTTGTGGTCATTGGATTGGATTTACAGAAAAAAAAAAGTGTTCAAATAATAGAATGTATGCCAAAAGAATTTAGGGTGTTGCTGCCAGATCCACTTACACTGTGTAAAACTATAGTTTCACATTTTTTAGTATCGTTGGATCGAACGAAATCAAAAGACTGGGATTAAGAAGAAAAAAATATTATGAGTTTAATGTTTGAGTTGAGTTGCTCATTTACAAATATAGACAATACATGAATGCTTGACAGTGAAATTGAATCCGTAATAGACAGCACACATTTTTACAAAAACAAATTTTGGGTTTCCTTTTGCTTTTGCTTTCCTCACAACCAACAAATCTTATTGCAATTTAAAGATCAACAAAAAACTTCAGATACAGAACCACCACCACACATTCAAGCAATGATCTGCGATACGGGCTACATACCTGAAAAACAGTCTCACTAGTCGATTCGCGAAAGCAGCGGGATCAAGACTATCGTTTAGGTTCGCTTAAATTCTTGCCTTCGAAGAATTCTCCCAACATTCGTTCGAGGTCCTCTGCTGTGTACTTCACGTACTTCTGAGGATTCTTCCCATTCTCAACTATAGGCCTGCAGGAAATCAAGAACTCGGAAATAAGAACATGTTCAAATTGAGGACGGTACGGATTTCTCGAAAGCAAAGTAAAAGCATCTACTTTTAATTATCATAAATAAAACTTATGTCAATATGGGGAAATTAGCTTCATTTTGAATACATATATGATGTTGATCAGAAGATATATGGGTTGAGGAATGGTCAGCTTTTTGTTAAAAGTCAAAGGATTATAACTTATTTGACACAGTAAAACAAACGGACTTAAGAAAGTTAAGGGGATCTTTAGTATTTTTGTCTTGAAATCAATAATAGGTTTATAAGTAAAGCGAGAAAAAAAAAACCCGTACCCGAAGCGTTTCAGGAATGATCTATAGGCAGGCAACAACACTTCCGCAACTGCAAGCCTCAGGGACTCTCTCAATTCCGTGTCAGGCACCGTCCATTGAGATTGTCTTTGATGAAGCTCCTCAAATTGCATATTGAAAATCTTGAACCTGATCCAAATAGCTTGCGCATCAAGATCAGAGGTACCAAAAAAAATAAAATAGATGGATTCCGATATAAAATTTTCAAGGAATTAAATGAAAACCCAAATAGAGTCAACAGGCCGGTTTCAATTGACCTGTCTTTAACCAATGCTCTGGAAACTCCACTGCTATTGCCTCCATCACCTACTGCACTACCACCTCCGGATGAGGTCATTCCTTGTATAGACAGGCACTGAAGGATCTACAGTAGAAAAGACATTGAGAAAAAAAGATAGTTAATTTTTCGAAGATCAGAAAATGACTCATCTGAAAGCATTGTACAACTGCAATCCAAATGTATTCAAGGCAGTAAGCATGTTAGAAATGGAGAAAATCATCCCTTTGGAGCTATTACCAAATGTTGTAGTCCAAGACTAATGTACCCATGCAAATTTATCAAATTGACCAACTTTTCCAAATGTATACAACAGTTCAAAACTAGTAGCTTATCATCAAAGTCTATTGCCTAAATGAGTGATTTATTTTTTGAATATCGTAGTAAAAACCAACAAAGAAAAAAACAATGCCAGATTTGTCTTGTTCTGCCTTGTGTCAATTAGGTCATCAGAAAATACCTTTTGCCAAGCATTCCTTTTGTATTGGTTTGCATGCTGCTGCACAATCCTCCTGTGTCTTTGGACCCAATCATCCCCCAACAGGTCTTTGGCTTCGGACCTAAACAAGAAATTAGAAAGTATGAACACATGCAAGACGAAACAACCTTTACAGGAGAATTCAGATTTATGACATACCTGCGCACAGATCTCACCATATAATGAATATTATTCATGAGAAATAAGTGAGTCAAAGAAGGATCTTTATACTGCTTGGATTTTCCATCCAAATTTGTTTGAAGAGCCTGCATTATTCTCATTGTTACAGAAGCCAACTGAGATCCCGTTTCATCACCAGTTTCAAATTCCTGGAAGAGTTGCTTCAATGTTGATTGGTAGCTGCAGGAATTTAACACATGATTGTCAGTTCAACAGCATGAATATATCAATAGCCGAAGGAATCATGCAGCAGAAATAAATAAATATCCTTCAGCTAGAGTTTCTTAAAATTGGACAGGTAAATTGGCTTCAAGATCACGACAAGGCAAAATAGCATATGATCATATAATGATTTGCTTATGAAAACTGTAGGACGGTCAATCCTGCTGACATATGCCAAATCCCTCTATTTGTTAAAATGAAACTAAGTATAAATGAGTCCTAAAGATCACGGGTCATATATGATAAACTGCAAAAGAAACATGCAATTAGCATGCATTACCATGACCGAAATAGAGAGCAACAAACTCAAAATTATAGAAAGCAGAACTTACTCGAATAAAAATTTTACATAATTAATCACATAGCTGGTTAAAGGATGGACAGTTCCATCCAAAACAGAAGTTTTTGTTGCATCTTTTTCAACTGCTTCTTCAAAATCACCAAAGGTATCCTGAGCTGTCTGGGCAAGTCGCTTTGTTAAGCCCAATGCAGATTCTCTAATCTCAGTACATGCTTTACCTCTGAAAATGGTTTCAATCTGCAAAAGAAACCATCTCTTAAGTTAATGGAAAGTACCTAGCACCATTTGAGTATGCCCCATTTTATTTTACAGCAGGGAAGCGATTGCTACACATTAAACTTGATTATCCTTTTGCCGCTAGATTGTCAACCAAGGTGGAAGACTATGTCAAATAGAATATATCATAGATTTTGAGGATATTACCTAGTATTGTTGCAAATCTTAAATGCCCAATCCATGAAATTATGAAGGGATCATAACAGATTCATGAAAAAAAATACTTTAAAACCTTAATATCTATTTTCAAAAGTCAAAAGTACGACTAGAAAAGTATGCATTTGGTACATCATGTTGATAAATTCTAACACCAGTAATATGAAAAATTCGATAGAATCACGTCAATTTGGACATCAGTTTCAGTTTAATTAACATTAACCAGAAGTAACAGTCTTCATATAATGAAATAATTGGTAAATACAAATATAAGCGATAAATTGATCAACAAAATATGAGATCTTACAGTGAAAACCATTTGTTGTAATTTTTATTAAGAAAAATGTGTACCAAGAGCAATAAAAGATAAATAAAGAAAAAAATGAAACAAAGTGCAGCCCTTCGTTTTGATTTTAGAACTATTCTATTCAGAGGAATAGTATAGGGTGCATGTTTGGCCAAGACGATATAAAATATTATAAGTTGTTCCATCTGACCCGCATATTAAAAGTAATTTAGCCAACATGGAAACCTAGAAAATTCCAGATCTGCCTAATTAAGTGGAAATACATCAAATGGTCATATCTATTTTATCCATTGCTAAGGCCCATTCTCTTAATGCAATGATCTCATGAGTTTTGTAATATTAAGCATACCTCAGAGTGAAGCTCTCTCATTATCTCATACATGTCTAGAAGTACAAATAACTTTTCTGGCGATCTCTTGCTTCTCGCAATCGCCTCACCAAAACTGAGTAGAACAGAAACACTACTTGCAGTAACTTCAGCAAAACATTGATCACTAAGAGAATCAAAGCCTTCAAACATTTGATCACAAACTTTTCGTTCTCCAGCAAATAGTAGTTTGACCTGTTGAAACATGAAAATTTTATAAAGTGCGTGTTGATTGAAATTTCTCCATATCCCAGAATGTTACTATGTTACTTACAGCAATACGCATAAAGTGAATCCAATTTCCAATCTTTGCTTCCAGAACCTCCCACTGCATCTTCTGGACATCATCTTTGCTAAGTTTTTCAACGCCCAATTTCTGGAGACTTTCTTCCAGGACCAAAGAACGAGTTTCTCTGAGAAAGAACAACAATGTAAAATCAGTTCCAGCAACATAATAATGAAAATTCATACTGTTCTAGATATGAAGCTAACAGTATATATGTCTATTGTGGGAACACTTCAAAACAATCAAAATGAACAGTGTATACATACATCTCACATGGACGTAAAAGATACAGATTGGTTTGGAAGGAGCCTAGGGAGTCATTTTTCTAGAACTTCATCTGAGTTAGCGCCCTAATGTTGCCAACATGTGCTAGCCACTTCTATTTAATTAGAACCCCATAAAACATTTACCAATGAAATGACAACCATATCACAATATAATTGTTCAAAAAATTATTATAATGGCTTTAAGTCAAAACAATCAAACAAGTAAAAGAATGTAAGCTTAAAAATCTATAAGAAAGCTGAAAATCTTACTTATAGATCCTGAGTAACTGCTGTTGGTGACCAGCTCGAACTATCTGCTTGGCCAGATCATGCAGCAATGGCATAACTCGAGGAGGTATAAGAGTGGGAGGGGTATACACAGCAGTTTCTAAGTCAATATTGTGATGCTCAGAATGGCTATGGGATGTAGCCTTGGCGCCAGCCTCTCCTTGATTTCCAGGTGACCCTGATGATGGACGTAGCGCATTTGGAAGGCCATCAAACAGACGATCAGGCTCAATAGGTTTGCTGAAATTCAATTAAAAGGAAAAAGAAACAAATGGAAGGAATAAAACATTAAGTAAACTAAAAAAACTAGATCCTTAAAATATGAAATATCATATCCTAAAGTTTAGTGAGAAAACACCCCAAGTGTAGTGTAGGTTATTGTTAAACTCCCTGAAAAGAGTAAACTCTCAATTTTAAAAGAATAAACTTGATTATTTCCCATTTAGTGCTTGAATTTATTAGTAGGCTAAAATAGAGGGAAACCAGCACCAAATTATGAGGTACCTGGCAGCATTAGCATTAGCGATTCACAATTTAGCAATTAGACCATTTGGATTTCAATCTTATAGTTGCTAAACATATTTTCAATCAGATGAACAGTTTTTTTTTTTCACTATGTACATTCTTAAAAATGAAACCTGCTGGAAATGATGCTCAAAAGATACATACATGCCCACACTAGCACAGATACAGATGCAAGAAACATTGAGAAAACAAACTCAAAACCATCAATGCAAATGCTTAGTATATTAATAACGGAAAAAATATATATAGTCAGGAAGATATATTTTAGTTGTAGGAAAGGAAGATCAAATATGCAGTGGTACCCCCCAAGGCTTGGATTATAGGCACAACTGTAAAAGATCTGATCTGATGGCAGAAAATTTCAATACAAGCCAAGAAGTCACCATCTCATCATGGGTCCTAGATCTTTTACAAGACAAGAATTCACTAAAATGTACAACTCATAAGATAAAAAAAAGGTCAGAAATACAAACCTGTAAGAATTTAATCGCTGCTTAAACTCGTCCTCTAGCTTCGAAATAGCTTTAGCAAGTAAAGTGTTAGACTGATTAAGCACTCCGTCGTTATTCCTAAAGTTTTTGTTGCTGCTAAAAAACTGAATGTTGCTCCTTAGCTGATCAATTGCTCCCAGATAACCTTCAAGATCTTCATGCGGCCCCTTAAGTATTTTAGCCTCCGCCTACCAAAATTCAAACGATCAATAACAAAAATAGCAAGTCTTCCATAATTCAAGGATTAGGTTTGAATCGACATAAACAAACACCAACCTAAATCAACAGATCTAGAACTGTTTCTTGTTCTTTTCAGTGAGACAAATGCTAATAAAGCGCTAACCTGACGAGAGAGATCGAATTGCGCCAAAATGACTTCGGCGGACTTCAAAGACTTGTCTATATTCTCATGAGCTTTCCTTATAGCATGAGTTCTAATCTACAAAACCGAACAAAAAAGAGCAAAGAAAAACATGAGGGAAAGGAATTGACTCATCTGATTTTGTTTCGAGGTGAGATCTAGAGAAAGCGGAAGGTGGACCTGAGTAGGTCGCATGGCGGTTTCGAGGGCGGAGAGGCGACTGTCGAAGGAGCCGAGAATGGTGACGACGTTGTCCGTGATTGTTTGGCTCTTGAGAAGAGCTTCCCTCATCATTGCTGCTCTCTCGCTTAAAGAATCCGTACCTGCAACTGCTATTCCCATGTTTGTCCTTTGCTTTTAGTTTTTCTGAGAGAGTGTTTTATACTCTGGAATTTGATGGGGAAAATAGGTTGACAATTCTTCCGTTGCGCCTTGTCGTTGTCGATCTGTCCGGGTCGGGTCAACGGTCCAAAAATATGGATCAAGTAAGCTATTGTCAAAGTCAATAAAAACAAAATTTATCGAACGATTTTATTGATTTAAGAGAATATTATTTTTTATGAGATTTTGAGTTTAATCAACAACAACAATAACAACAAAACCCAATTCTCATATGTATGGGGTAAGGGGAGGTAGGGTAGTAGGCTGCTCCCAACGCCAGGTTGAGAGTAGCTTCCGTGGAAGACCTCCGGCAGTCAGAAAATTAAAAATATAGATAAAATGTAGTGCATATATAAATAAATACATAACTAAACAATATTCATATGCAGTCATTAAAATCATATGTGCGTCTGTAACGGGAATTAATCCCTGTATAATAATCCCTGCGAAAGAATCTCTGCATATAGACAGAAACATAAGACCCGGCTAAATTTAAAAGAGGAAACATGAAGAGAATGATACACAGAAGTTTTGAGTTTAATCAGTTACGTATATAAAATGTGTGATATATCTAGGAATGACAATGGATTATTTTTGGTCAATTTGATCTGACCCGAAAATTATATATCATTTGTTTGAACTCGACTTGACTTGAAAATTATATGTGATCCACCCGATTCGACCTACCCGAAAATTATATATCCTCCATCCAAATTGATCTAAATTTTAAGAATATAAATACGACCCAATATAAAATAAAAAACAATTAAAAACATAATAGGTATTATAGTAATTAATCATAAATTTATTTTTAAAAATTACACAATTATCCTTGATTCGGGTAGAAGTTTTTTCATCCTACTCCTGAACTTGATCTGACTCCAATTTTTTAAAATATAATTCTATCACATCAGATCTGATCAAAATCGATCAATTTCAAATTAAATTGACATTCCTAAATATATTATTAATAAAAAAAATTCTAAACAAGTAAACATATATTATTTTTATAATTATTTTATATTATTAAAAAAATATCCAAAATCAACATGAAATAGAAATAAATAGAAAATTTTGTTTCAAAAATAGTGAAATGTTATTCTTTTAACTATTAAAGCAATTTAAATTGTGCAAGTTAAACTCAACCCCTAATAAATAGTTGATAAGAATTTATGCATATGATCTAAAATCATATCCTATCACTAAAAAATGTATGAACAAAAGATTAAATTTAAAATTAATTTAATAAAAAATATAAATAAGCAAAAATATAATTTCTCAAATTCAAAATTTTTAAATAAAAAAAGTCAATAAAATCATTCAATATGTTATATTCAAGTTTATTTGAATCACCTAATAATTAATTTTAAAAAAATAAAATTAATTTGTTTTATAAAATCTGGTCGGAACCTAAATATTTGAATTTTTTTTTCTTAAATTCCTAGTAAAAACCAAATCACAAAGTATGCGAACCCTAGCTAAAACCCTCAGAAGAGCTGCAGTTGTTGCTTGTCTTTCCTCTTCATCTTTTCTCCATTAACAATATTAGTGGTAACAGATCACTGCCTGTCCCTTTTCTATTCGCCAAACGGCTGCCATGGCCATGGATAGCGGCGCCGGCGAGCAGTCACACAAGGTTCACCATACTTAAGTTTCATATAAATTTTGAGATCAGGTCCATATCGCCGGTGTTGGCGACTTCAGCTTAGCTGGTGTTACAGGGCTATCTGATCCTTGCCCTTTACCATCAGCTGCAAAAAAGAAGGGACTGCGTGACAAAGAAAAACTTTTTTATGCCCCCATGTTTGGGCTTGGGGATCTCTTGTATGATAAAGATGCAGTCTACATAAACATTAATGACCACTTTGTTCAGTACTCTAAAGTAGATGAAATGAGGGGAGCAACACATAAAGGTTCTTGATCTCTTTCATGTTCAATTTTCTCTCTGTTGTTGATGGTATCTTATAATATCTCACTGGTTTCTTTCTGTTGTCAGGAAATAAATGGGATGTTGGTGAGGCCTTGGTGAAATCACTTCAGAATATAAAGAACCCAATTGATGAGAAATTGGAAAAGAGTAAAATTTCCCTTTTTAGTCAGAATCCTAATTACTTGTTGGAAGCTGAAGGTCGCAAAACGAATTCTGATGAAGCACCAAAGCTAATTCGTGATATAGAGCCTTTGGAGCAATACCAGTCTGATGGAGAAGAAGATGATAGTGAGTTTGATGAATAAAGTGGCGATAGTGATCTGGATGATTCAAAGTCATCACTCTTCAGACCAAGATGAAGGTGTTCAAGAAGATGCAATGCAGAAAAGTGGAGGTAGGGATTTTGATGAAGGAAATGCTGATGCATCAGAGCGATTGGGTCGAGTCTTGGAACAGGTTGAGTTTCATAGTGGTAGAAAAAGGAGAAAAGCAATGTTTGGAGATGACGTTGACGATAATAATCTTAAGGTATTTAAAGGCGATTCTTTTTGCTTGTTTTTAAAGAACTCTAGTTTCTTACCGTTAGGTAGGTGGAAGAGTCTTGAAAGCACATCCTTTCCCTCTCTCGGTCTCTCCAACGTGTTATTAAGGTGGTTGGTGGGAAAACCTTATTTTCTTAAATTAACTTTACTGCAGGGAACAGATGATGAGAATGAAGGTGACCAATCTGATGATGACGGCAGGAGCAATGAAGGTACCGAGTCATGTTCGGGTTCAGAGTTTTCAGACAGGGACAACGAGGATCTTGTATCCGATGGTACTGTTCATAGTTATGTATATTGATTGTACACGTTTATGCTTCTCCATCACCGGTAGACATTATACTATAAGCTACACTTGTAGGAATAATGTTCCTATATAAAGCACTATAATGTGTTTTGACTGTACAACAGCATAGCTTTCCAAGGGTTGGCCTATACACCCAGGGCCATGTTCATTATCTCAGCCTGCTTGGGCCAGACTTGGGTTTAAATTTATGTCTTAACCTTGCTGAGCCTGAAATTGTTTCTGGTAAATAACAAACTTGCTTAGTTTTGATTAAAAAATTTAAAAATATTAATAAAAATTGTTTTACCGACTCACACTTAGTTTCTAAAATGTCAGATTGATAGGGCCCAGTCCATGGACATCTCTAGACAGTCTCTCTGTATTTAATTTCTGATGTGGTCAATCACTATGTTATATATTTTCTTCCATGCTCTTGTTTTACTTCTAAATGCAATTTTCATAATGTCGTAGAAGATGGCATGGGGAACATATCAAAGTGGAGAGCATCATTGGTGGAAGGGCATCTAAGAAACAGAATATAAATCTAATGCAGCTTGTATATGGGAAATCTGCCTCGATATCAAATGCTTCTGTTCATTCTAATATTTTTTACTACTGTAGAATTTGAAAGAAGGATTAGATGGAGGGAATATCAACAACGAGGACTGTTCCAAATCCACTAATTTTTCTGACCTTAAGTACTGGAAAGAGGAAGATGTATATGAGAGTGTTCGCGATCGTTTCACCACTGGTGATTGGTCTAAGGGTGCCCTCAGAGATCAAATGCCAGAAGCTAGAACTGAAGAAGAAGATGATATGGTTGGTGACTTTGAAGATTTAGAAACTGGTGAGAAATATGTAAGTCATAAGGAATATGATTCTAGTAATGGTGGAATCCAAAAGGAAGATGATGCCATTGTGGAGCGGAGGTCTACGTGCGAAATTTGATGCTCGATATCCTTTTGTTAGTTAAATTACTTTGAGTGTTGTGCTTTATATTTTATTTTCTGCCTGCTGGGATCATCTATTCCTGTTTATGCTGGTAAAATGGCAGGGGGGTGAATGTGGTATTTCTCCTGCTATTGCTGTCTGTATTTTCTCATCCACACTCAAGATTGTTGTTTCTACTTGCATTTCTCTGGAATGTTTCGTTTTTATTCTTTTCAATGAACATTTCAGTTTTGATTTCTGTTTGCATGGGATGTATCGATGAAAACTGTGTTGCTTTTGTAACCTTAACTTTTATTACTTATGATGGATCTGAAGCATCTGAAGAGGAAACTGATAAAAATGCGGTAAAGTTTCACCGCAGTCAAGAAAATGACAGTGGTTATCATGACAAGGTAGACTTTGCATTTCTTTTGATCAGAAAAAAAAAATCTAATATTAGGTTTAAGCCATAAATCTTTCTTGATTCTTCCAGTTGAAGGAAGAGATTGAACTCCAGAAACAAATTAATATAGCAGAACTTGAGGATCTTGATGAGACTACCAGATTAGAAATTGAGGGATTCCGCACTGGGATGTATCTAAGATTGGAGCTTCATGGTGTTCCTTTTGAGATGCTAGAGTATTTTGATCCTTGCCATCCCGTTTTGGTTGTAGGAATTGGTCTTGGTGAGGAAAATGTTGGATATATGCAGGTTAGAACATGCTTAAGATTAGTAATATTGTACTATTACACTGCTGAATAATAGTCTGCTTTCCTGTCCTCATGGGAGGAAAATGTTGAGCTTTATTTGTTTGTAACTCCCTTTTTATTTTCCATGTATTAGATTCATGTCTTTCACTTGTTTATACTGGGTTTATATATGAACGGGAGTTCTAACATTTAAGTGGTGATAACCCTTATTGGTTTTCTCTTGAGCTTGTGGCGGTCCTATGTTCAGTCATACTGGTAGTAGAGTTTAGAATTAAACATCATTCAATAAGAAAAACATAGATTTAAGGTAAAAGATTGTGTGAAATCATATTATTTGACAAGATTTACCTGTACATTTAGTTGATAAATTCATGGTTGTAACTTACATAAAAAACAATCTGGCAGCATTATCTACACTGCATTCTTATTAGCTGTCTGTTGTAATTCTGATGGTTTTTGTATTCTATCTTGTTGTAGAACATACTAAGAGGTTTTCTTTTCTTCCAGACAAGGCTGAAACGACACAGATGGCACAAGAAAGTGCTGAAGACTAGAGATCCAAT